AGCTCCAGCTGTAGAAGCGCTCTCTCTCAGTAGTAGCTGGTGACGGTGTTCACAGTGCTGTGGATGTTCTCCAGGTTCTGCTGTCTTTGTCTCTTCCTGGCCTGACTCTGAGCTGAGAGAGAGAGAGAGAGAGATGCTATGAAATACAGTAGGACAACATGCGTCTGTTTAATTGCAGAAGGATATAAATGTACCTTGTCCTCTCTTGAGTGCGATCTTCATGACTATTGCAAACAGCATGAGGAGAGCAGCTGCTGCTCCGACACAAATCAGTAAAACCACCATATTATTAGCAGCTGACAGAAGAAAGGAAACAAGAGGGACATTAGAAATACTATCTATCTATCCATCCATCCATCCATCCATCCATCATATTTTATATAAAAAGCAAAAAATTTAAAATAAAAAATAAATGAATGTATTTATTTATTCATCATTTATTATTATTATTATTATTTGATATCATGGTCAGTCATTCCATCTGCTTCACAGAAAGAATCAGTCAGAAATAATGAGCAGTACAATCACCTTCTACATCAATAGTTATAGTAGAGTTGTAGTTCCCACAAATACTTTTAACCTCGCAGTTGATGACTGAGGTTTTTGGAATGTACTTGATTTGAAATGTTTCTTCATTTTCTTTTTCCTGTAATTCATTGTCCATTAGCCAGCTGATGGAGCCTTCGGGAACGTCATGCGTGCAGTTAACAGTCACGGTCGCACCCTCTTGAACTTTGGTGGAGGAGGTGTATATGGTCACATTAAAATCTGGGAAGGAGAGCAAAAGGTCAAAGGTCATCATACATTTAATCTGTTTACAAGTGATATCTAACATATGAAGTACTTTTCTTCTATATGGTCACATTAAAATCTGGGAAGGAGAGCAAAAGGTCATCATACATTTCATCTGTTTACAAATGATATCTAACAGATGAAGTAATTTTCTTCTTGAGGATTAATCACTATCTCCAGTAGCATTGTTTGATCAGTGTTTCAGGCAATAATGCACAGTACTTGTACCTTTTATCGTGCAATTTGTCAGAACATCTGGGGAAAAGGAGAATGGGAACAGATTTAATGCATTCTCAAAAACTGAATTATTTTTGTCATTATATATTTTGTATTTTTTATACTTTCAGACATTTCTGATTAGTATGGAAGCTTGTTTCCACCACAGGATAAAAAAAAGTAATTGCAACTCTTTATCTCACAATTCAGACTTTTCCCCTGCAATTCTGAGTTCTGAGAAAAACAAAAGTGCGATATAAACTTATTTTTAATTTTTTTATTCCTTGGTGGGGAAAAAACAGAGATGTGAGATTTAAAATCTCTTTTTTCTCAGATTTGCGAGATATAAGCTCAGAATTGCAATAAAAAAGTCAGAATTTTGAATTTATATCATGCAATTCTAAGTTTATATGTTGCAATTCTTTTTTTTCTGTGTTTACATCTCAGAACCGTGAGTAAAAAGTCATCATTTATTTTTGTATTTCATAGCATTTGCTGTTGATTACACAACTTTTCTTTCTCCTAAACTAGAATTTCTTCACTGATTTTTGTACACGCAACTATGAAATGAGCACTTTAATACAGTTTAAATTCAGAATCAAAAAACAAAATGTAACTGACCGTTGGTGCAGTTATGTGACGTGGATCGGCACAGTGGACATGCTTGAGATAGAACAAAGAAATATAATCAGGTTATTTACAAAAGTGGAATGTAAAATACATTGTGCAGGTTCTCTAGACTCTACCTTGTGCTATATTTCTACCTAGAGGTTGAGAACAGTTCAAACATTCAACCGGTTTACACGTTTCAGCTTGTCCAATGCCTGCACCTACTGAGAGAGAAAAAGACCATAAAATATATTGGATAAAATATTAACCTCACAAAATGTAAAAATGGAAATCATGTTTTCTTTTATCGTTTGACAGTTGGTAAACATAGGGTTGAACTTCCATTTCTGACCCGAGGAACTGATCATTTATTTCCAGATGTTTCTTGATGATCTTTTTCTGCTTGTATTTTATTCTAAACTAAAAAATAACAGTTTCTTGCTGACAATATCCCGAGCCACTTTCATTTGTGATATTATCCTCTAGGTAGTGACATTATGAAACAACAGCACAAATCAGACCCTTTCTTTAATCGGAACATGCTTCACAACTCCTTGTTCAAGCTCTTGTTCTGTCCAGGCTGGACTATTGCAATGCTCTCTTGGCAGGTCTTCCAGCCACTTCTATCAAACCTTTACAATTAATCCAGAACGCAGCAGCAAGATTAATTTTTAACGAGCCGAAAGGAATGCACGTCACACCTCTGTTTATCAATTTGCACTGGCTACCAATAGCTTCTCTATTCTTTTTCTATTCTATCTGTTTTCTTTTTATTTATTATATGATTAAAAAAAAAACCTTGCTACGTGTACTGCGTTAGGCTAACTGAGACTTGTTATAGCACTTGCATATCATTGCTCTTTTGCTGATTTTGATTGCTTCCATTGTCCTCATTTGTAAGTCGCTTTGGATAAAAGCATCTGCTAAATGTCTAAATGTAAATGTAAATATAAATGTAAATATGAATTAGTGATTTCTGTGATTGTGTATTACAATTAATCAGTTTATTTCATATTTATTTAATAATGTTCATGGTTCAAAACATGGTTAAAAATATAAAGAATAACTTTAAATTGGCATCCTTTTGTAAGCTAACTGTTAACCCCTCGCAATTGTCATTATTGTTAACCATAACTGAAACTAAAACCATTAAAATCATATTCATTGCTTGAAATAAAATAAACATTAACTGAAATAAAATATTATACAAATAATGTACAAAACTGAAGCTTATTTTATTACAGCTAGTTGCCAAGGAACTTCTCATTTTTTAGTTTAATAAATAACTAAAATTAAATAAACAAAAACTAAAATTAATAATAAAAAAAACTACTAAAATTACAAAAACACAACAAAATTACTAAAACTTTCACTAAAATAAAATGAAAACAGTAAATAAATGAATCAATTCACATAAACTCACAGAGATGAAGACAGACGATGATAAGCAGCGTTCTGCTAAACATTCTTGTGATCGCACGTCCTGACCTGATCAGAAAAATACAAAATCAAGACACACAGGAGTTTTATTTCACTCGACATCTGCTCTTAGTTTTTTCTTACTTAAGTTATAACATATTTTCCCCATTATTAAGACACTAATAACATAAATACATACACACGTACATACATAAAAAATTGCATAGGATTTGCTTTAACAATTTAACAATTTTCACTCAGGAATTGCTACTAAATTTCACAATCAGTTACAATGAAATGGCAAGTACTGAATCAAATGTGAAATTTTAGTATTATTAGTATTTAGTTTATAGTAGTATTTAGTATATTAGCATATAGTATTTTCCTGTAAAACATACTCAAATCATCTTTATTTACATTTATTTACATTTTATTTGACCAAAACAGGAACTTCTGAAGTAAAGAATGCTGTCCATTTTTAATTTTGTTATAAACTGTATTGAAAAAGAATCCTAAATGACACAGACATTCTCTCTTACATAGGAAGATGATTAAAAGGCACATCAAATATATTTAGAAAGTCTTTTACCTGCTATTTTAAGGCTGTGTGTGTCAGATGTGATAGTGTAAGGCGTCAGGAGTGAGTGTCTCTGACAGGAGAGCTCTGTTCATAGACACATATTTACACACAGATAATCATGCAAATGGCCTCAAGGAATATATTTCTATATACAGCTGACTACTTTGCTTACAGTGATGCACAGAGGATTCTAGCAAACGTGAAGAACTGTTGAATATATGACATGAATTGTTGACATGTAAATTTAGTTGGTTTCAATACCATTTGTAATAAAATTAAAGCTATATAATATCATTTCTATATCTTTATTTACTCCATGGATAAAATGTCTGTTGTGTACTAATCTAGCAAGTATTATATTATAATAAAAAAAGTTATGCTAGGCATTTGTATTCAGTATCAACATGCATATTTTCTCGAAATAATATACATAAAACATCTTGTATACTTAAACTTTTTTAACTTTTACAACTGTGTAAAGAAATAACATCTGATTCGAAGACTACCATCAAATGCCCTATACACACCAAAGACATTAAACACTGCCATGCTATGAACTGCAGTGAATCATTTCTGTTTGTTTGTTTTTCTGTTTAACCTCTATGCATACTGATGTGTACAGCATGTACGTAAATCAAGCGAGCAGGCCAAAGAACACATTATAATCGCCACAATATACCCTTAATATATGTTAAGGACAAAATGGCACCTCATAGAGGAAATGTGTGTTAGCAAGTTAAAAAAGTGCATGTAAATAAAGAGCCCGTTCTCATAAATAGTACGCCAAATAAAAACGAAAACTCGTGGTATTGATACGCAAAAATGGACTTTGGCGTGCATATGATAGGCATGAGTTTGGCGTGCATAAAATACGCAGTTTTCGCGTGCATATGATACGAAATTTGTTGGCGTGCATATGATACGCAGTTTTCGCGTACATATGATACGCATCTACCCCACAACCCATCGCGTAGCATATACACGCCAAAGTCCATTTTTGCGTATCAATGCCACGAGTTTTCGTTTTTATTTGGCGTACTATTTATAGCACTTTCATGAGATCGGGTTGAATAAACACTGTATCATATTTCAAAAATGTCATACCATGATCTGAGCAGCTAAATTTAAAAAGAAAAAGCTTTTAAAAACAAGATTTTTTAGCAAGCACTGTAAAAATATGCCTATATAAAGATGCTACATAAAAATAAAGAAATAAAGAAAATTAAATCACATTTATTCTGACTTATTCTGAGCAGGGGGAGATATGCTCTTTATAGTTTTGATCCAGATTTAACTAATTTAATTTAATTTAATTTAATTTAATTTATGTTGTGCAATATCAAAATAATAAAAGTCCTTTAAGCGGTCCGCGCATGCGCGACGCGTCAGCTGATTCTCCGTTCACCTGTTTGAAGATGAAGCGCTCAAACGCACATGAACGCGTGTCGCGCAGGTTAAACGCACGCTGTCTCTAGTGTTCACGACTGCAGGTAATATGGTGGCGATTAGAGGTTTAAGCCAAAGCTTCTCTCGGCTGGCCAGAGGAGCATCTTTACAGATAAAATTCAGCAAGAGTCGCGTGTTCAAGATGCGCTCGAACTCGTACCAGGTGAGCGGACAGGTGGATACAAATTATTTTATTTTATAGAATTATGAAAATCTGTATGAATACAAACGCATTTGGTTACATTTATCGTTAATATAAGATACAAAAAAAATCTCTCTCTCTTTCTCTATATAGTATGTTTATTATATTTGAAAATTTTTGTTATATTGTCTTTTATTTTTTTTATTTGTTGTCCATGTAGTATTATTTTAGCCTCAAATGGTTTTTGCTTTTTGTTTCTTATTAGAGACAGTTGAGTTTTAACTGAGACTGTTAATCCACTGATGATTGGCACAATATAAGAACATGCTGGCACACTAAATTTAACAAGCTATTACGTAAGCTAAGCAAAATTATAAAGTTAATATAAATCTTTAGTTTTCTGACAACTTACCCTGATCTGACAGTAATCATATGTAATCCATTATGTTTATAGATTAATTTATTATTATTTTTCACAGTAGTCTCTCTGCTCTGATTCACTGCACGTGTGACATCACAGTGTGACAAATGCTGTGAAAAATGTTGCTTAATTTCTCTCCACATTAAAAGACGTGGACGTTTCGTTGTGCAAGTTCTCAGGCCTGTTGTGCATGTTTCCATACTATACTTTAGTAACCAAGAAACTGGTTACTTTACGGACCGTTTAAGTACATTTGTGGCCCCTAATGGGTTGAGGTTATCCACCGTGGTTGGTTATTTGATTCTCTCATTCATCAGGTCCGTTTGAGTGCATAAGCGCAGGGGTAGGTGGGCTGTAGCGTAGGCCTCATACCACACAAAGGGTTGCTTACAGTCAAAAGAGAGGTTTAGTCAGAGTAACCGCAGTTCCTCTTGCGGTGTGTTGCTATGGTAAGACTTCCCTTTGAAACAGGAAGTGACAGAGCTGTAAGAAAGAGGGCTGGCAGGCAGCGTAGCTGTAGAGGGGAACAGTTTGGAGCGATGTCCTCGGTGTGGGCACGGTCAACCCTAACCTGATGTGGCCATGTCCAAGAAAATGAACACTCTGGCAGTGCCAGCGGGTCAGATGGTAAGTCTGGTTCAGGCCTGCTGGTGGTTTTTCTCCAGCTCAGAGATGCAGCTTCACTGATTGGTTCGGTTTGATGGGTGTGTGGTTGTGTGCATATGTTCAAAGTTGTTTCATTGTAGGTTCGTGATCATGTGTTTAATCTTCCATTTCAGCAATCCAAACAAGATTTGATGAATATTTGCAATCCAGAAGGTGATGGATTTTGGTTTGTGGTGTTTAGTTGAGCATTTCAACTGTGAGAAATTCCGATTGTGGCACAGGGAGATAAGTGAGCGGTTTGCTTTGAGGAGTCGCAAATGTGTTGCTGCTGTTTCATGACAGGTGTTTTCTTCTGGTTGGCTTGTTTAACTAGTTTTGGCCCGTTTTTCCATCCACAATCAGTCAGAGGGGACTTTACATTTACAAATTGCTCTGTGTGTGTTTGATTTGAGGACAAAATCGTCCCCAGACGTTCAGCTGAATCTGACAAAGCAGCTTTGGAGAAGTCTAGGGATGTCTTCAGGGGCAAAGATGATTCGTAATTGGAACTAAAAGTCACTGGTTCAATTCCGGGGGAATCTGTGAACCGATAAGATGCGTAGCTTGAATGCAATGTAAACTGCTTAGGACAAGTGTCTGCCTAATGCGTACCAGTAAATATAATGCTAAACATTCAGCAGTGTTTACTTTTAGATAAAAGGAATAGTTCATCCAAACATTAAAATATGCTGATAATGTACTCATCCTTAGGATATCCAAGCTGTAGATGAGTTTGTTTCTTCATGGGAACAGATTTGGAGAAATGTAGCATTACATCACATGCTCCGCAATGGATCCTCTGCAGTGAATGGGTGCCGTCAGAATGAGAGTCCAAACAGCAGAAGTAATCCACACCACTCCAGTACATCAATTAACATGTTGTAAAGCAAAAAGTTGTGTGTTTGTAAGAAACAAATCCATCATTAAGATGTTTATAACTTTTTAAACATTTTTAACCAGCCCATAATCCACAATAATGCTTTCTCCCAAAAAAAATTGTCTTCTAAAATTTTAATTTCTGAGTGAACTTTTTCTTTAAGTCTGTAGGGTAATAATTAGATTTATATATAATTATATAATACAATATTATATATTTATATAATATTATATAACATTCTCCCTAGAAGTGCGGTAAGTCTTACAAAAATCCCTTTGGGCACAAGCTTTCAATTCCTTTTTTTTGTGATTAAAAAAAAAAAGCAAAGTTATAGTTTGCAGTTATTGCAATTAACTTGTATAAAAGAAAATCCATGGTGTGTCTTTATTTAGATGGCTTGCCAAATTGTGTTTAAGAAATGCGAATGCATGATGAGCCGCTGAGAAAATAAGCATTTTGAATCAGGTTTTCACATTGTTTCCATGGCAATGAAACTTTCTATCACACAAACATGTTTTTGCCCAGTGGGTCAGCTGAAAGCTAACCTCACTAAATGTGACATGCTGTTTGAGTCGTGTCATGTCTCCTAATGAACTTTTTCTAACATCAAACACACCCATTTCCTGTGTGAGTGTACAGCTTAGAAAAAAAAACAAAAAAAACATGCAGCTGTTAAAATGTGATTTCCTGTGATGCATTAATTCATGACTATGATACAGGCCTCCATTGATTTCATGGTAGACTGATTGTGTTTGTTTGGTCTTGCAGACCCAGGCGGTTTCTGATGGGGGTGAGTGTTATTTCTTTACACTGAACTTACTGTTCTTGTCAGTCTTGTGATCCGATCACAAGTGGGTCACCCAGTGCATCATGTCAATCACTTAAACCACTTTTTATGCATGTCTTACTCATCTCTAACTGCCATTTCCAAACAGAGCTCAACTTCAAGTTATCCAGTCGTGGCAGCAGCTCCAGCCTATCAGAGAGCTCGAGCGGGTCAGGTGGTCCTCAATGTGCTGATGGTCCAGCCAGTCGGGTGGTCAGCTGGGCGGTGTGTTTCGAACGCCTGCTTGAAGACCATGTCGGTGTGCGATACTTCACCGTAAGATTTAATGCAGATTTTTATGAAGCAAACGTTGGAATAATTTTCGATATTCTTAGTAATATTTCAAGATGAACGCTTACTGGACTGAAGCAGCTTAACTTTACTTGATTATCCAGACATCAATTTTTTTCGAAAAATCAGTGAATATCAAATATGATCCTCAGGCTTTTGAGGAGCGTTTATTTGTTCATCTCTCAATCATCATTGTATGACCTCGTATTATGTTTTGATCATCAAACTAAACATTTAAATATCATCTTACTAAGACATATTGTTGGAGATATAGTGACCACTGATATTTCTATCATTTTATGTTAGTATCTTTTATACTGTTCTAAAGATCTCATTGATTTACATTATAAGCTATCAGAATTTCATCTTACTTTTGTAACACATAAATATCAGCATTTGTTCCAAATTGCATATTTTTGCTCAGTTTAGGCCTCTGAATAAAACTTTTTTTGTGTGTGTATTTCTTTGGGTGTGAGCATTTAGAGATATACCACACCATATACAAGATTTATATAATTGTTAGGGATTGTGAGTTAAACCTCTTGTTTTTGCAAATGATATGAATGCTATTACTTTTCAAGAGATATGGCTTTCGCTTCTGATATAAAATTAAACAATTTATTTTTTCCATGTTGTTGGCAGTAGCATTAGACATTAGCATAATAAAATATTACCTCTTCTCTTCGCATCCAAGCAGTTGATCAGGATTTCAGCTTATTAAAACTAGTTTTATATGTCAGCATGTAGCAAGTTGATGCACAGGTCATGATAAAAAGGAAGCATTCATTCGTAAAAACACATAATTTACACCTAGAGCTTTTGTTAATTAAATGTGTGAATCATTGAAGTGTTGTGGTTTTTCTCTTTCTTTCTTCCTGTCTCACAGGAGTTTCTCAAATCAGAGGTGAGTGCTGAGAATATCCTGTTCTACCAAGACTGTGAAAAGTTCAAGAAAATCCCACCCACTAGACTGGAAGAGGTATGCAAAATACTTTTTTTTTTTTTTT